TACGCTATAAATTACAGTTGGTTAGCCTACCCCTCTCTTCTTAATAAAGCAGGAAATGCTAAGCGATATATTGCTGTGAAACAAAGTATTACTGTGAAGTCAGCACACCCTAGAAAAGCCAGCAGTAAGAGCTAAAACCTAGGATAATAAGAACCTTTCTATATCATTAGTAGAATGTGTCATTTTGTTTACATCCATGGAATTCCTTGATTTAAAAAGCAAGGATCAAATGACCTGTAGCCAACTTTGGAACTCTCTCCTGTTATTCTCCTTTCCCCCCAAGACTTATGTGGACACTGCTCTTATTCACATGCAATCATGTAAGTTGGATCTGCCAGGACTCCCTCTACCTCTCTTCCCATAGTGCTGGCAAAATGCTGGAGGATGATGGGTGGGCATCTTTCTATATGAGAGGACTTCAGAAAGTTGGTGGGAAAATGGAATTAAAGTACAAGATTTTGGGGTACAATAGTTTTAAAAATCCATGCATCATTTTTTCATAGTACTCATTTTCCATGAGTTTTTTGAAGATCCCTTATACAAGGCATTTGGGTCAATCCATGTAATGGAGTCCAGAACTGTGGACCAAAGGCATCAACCTGTTTTAGAGACTAAGGAGCTTCTCCAAGTACTACAAATACATTATCGTATTGACCCAAGCCTTCCACTAGGAAAGCGTTTTGACAGATTTCTCCAACGTATCTGGTGGGGATGCTTATCAGAGCTGATTTCAGACAACCCTTCCAGGGAGGTCATTATCATCCACATTTTACAGATGAGGAAACTAATTCAAAGAAAAATGCAGCTAGTAATTTGACACATGGGCATTCGAACCCTGTCTTTCAGACGGCAATAGCCACACTGTTCCGCAGCGGCGTCCACTCATTCTCATAACTGGAATGCTCACTCTGAAACATGAGACCCTGATAGTGGAGGGGAGGTGGTGTCCCCCTGGAAGAGGTGGCTTTTAAAGGGCAGAGGCAATGTCCTGCACAGAGAGGGAGTAGAGGAAGAGGAAGATGATATGCAGAGAGGCATGGGCAAGGTATGATGAGCTCATGGCTGCCAGCCTGTGAGACAGTATACCTAGTGAACAGATAGAAGTGGAGTTTAGGGACAGTAATTTGTCTTGCTCAGAGATGTGACATAAATTCACACTATGTAGGACACTCCCATAGTGTTAATCAGAAGCTTTTTCCTAAGCAGAGCTTCCAAGATCTGTAGGCAAAGCCCAGCTTGTAGGCCAAGCCTAGCTTGTTTCCTGTGTCATTAGACATGCAAGGCGTCTCCTTTGTTGAGCATGGGCTGACCACCTCTCACAGAGAAAACTAGGTTTCCCCAAAGTTGTCCCCAGACCCTCTATGTTTTTGCTATAGATACAGAATCAGCACTGTGCCACTCATTTCTGTATATTATAAAAATGCATAAATACTAGATAACCCAAAGCTCACTCTCAGGTAGGTGTCCCTGAAGGACGTTAGATATTTTGTATTCAGTGTCCCCAGAATCAAATCCAATGCATGTGATTTAAAAGGGGCTCATCTTTCCTGTTTAGCCCTCTCCCTCCTGTACACAATGTCATGATTCCAATACTGGAGGTAAGGAAGCTGAGAAACCCAGAATATCATTCACTGTATTATCTCAGTGACTACTCAGTCGCAGTGTTTATGTCTACAAAACATCTCTCCCCTGTTCCCTTCCATTCAGTTCCCACTATGGCTGTTCAAGTTGTAGACTTTAACACTTCTTGCCAGGAACTCTTACATCTTTTCTTCAGTAATCCCTTGCCCCCAGTTTCAACTCCTTTGAAGATCTCCTTAAAGGCTCTCTTTAGGGTCACTGCCACAGTTACTGTCCTACACTCCAATCCCTCTCTACAGCTAGGAACAGAGCTAGGCAGGTACTCATCACACCGTCTACCAAGGCTGAGCCATCCATCACCTAGAAACTCCAGCCATCACTCTTTCTGTCATTTTTTCCAGGCACTAATAAAAGCTACATTTGTGTGTTCATGATATTTCTATCTCCCTTGGCATCTCTAAAATATCAAGAGATATCTGGAGAGTTGTTCTCTCTCTAATTCATCAAGTAATCATTCTCATCATCTAAAAAGGTTTTGAAATCCTATATTCTCTGATCAAATGTTCCCAGACTGTTCAGACAACAGTCAAGAGTTTTTGCTCTTTCCATCAAATTCTACCTTCCATCTCCTCCCCCTGCCACTCCTAGCCACACAACTGCCATGGCTATTAGCTCTGATCTTCTGCCAGGCTCTTATATTCCTGGTGATTGTTCAATGTACACACCTTTGAATTGATACTTTGATCTAATTTTTTAAAATGTTTAATGTATAAGGTATATAACTTTCATATTTCATTAAGTGCATTTTTTCTGGACTGCAAATTCCTGGAAGGCAGGGCTACACAAAAGAATGAGGATCTTTTTGCTAATAAGAATTCATGTAAGTTGAAGCTGTTTGATAATCATGGGGCTAGCATTCAAAGTCACTCAAAAAAATACACAAAACTGAAGAGCTCAGATCTTGATTTCAGCCATGGGCATGTAATTACACCATCCTATCCACCCAGACACCTAGCTAGTTCCACACTGGGTAGAGGCGATAGTAGCTGAGAGTGGGACTGACATAGATTCTGGCCTCAGCTCTGCAAACTGACGCTACAACCATTGCTGGGGACCTATGTCTACAACTGAAGCCTATTCGGTGAGGAACAAAGCTCAGGAATGGATTCAAGTGTATGGAGCTTTATAAGTGACCGGCGCCTTGTGTCAGCTATACTCACTTGGTGAGGTGGGAGAGGCGGCACCTCCTTCTGTTGACGTGGTTGGAGGCTTCGTGTCTGGCACCGGCAGAGGCACAGGCCTGGCCATCGGTGGTGGCGGCGGCGGTGGCAACATTGGGGTGGGAAGGAATGGGTTGTGCACCTTGCCTTGGCTGCTCCCATTGGGCTGTGAAGGTGGAAACAAAACAAAACACACACACACAAAAGAAACGAGACATCCATCATTAGCTGCTTCTAAGAAGAAAAGATTCCTTAGGTCTCTTTTAGGGGTATGACGAAGTATTCTAGCTCCTTGAATTCTTCTCTAAGTCCATACAGATAAAGAATGAGTAGCTTCTGTTCTTAAAGTATTCCATCAAAGTATACTGAGGCACACATCCTCAGTGAATTCTAAACTTATCCCTCAAATAACGTCCCTTTTACATCTGAATCTGTAAAATGACCTGCCAAGGATCACTTTGGATTTGTCATCTGAGTAGACAACTTTTATTTGGAATGTATTGGTTCTGTAATAACTGCTACCTCAATAATCATTCTATGATGATTAAATATTTATGTAAGAATTTTACAGATTGTAGTATTATTTCACCATGTCTATGTGCATAGGTATAATAAAGACTCTTAACTATGCATTTACGATAAAAAAGAATAATCTTTCATGTTCTCTCTTCACAGTGGATATTATATAACTTTTAATGAATGTGTTAAGTGAACAGAAAATTTTTCTGTCACATATTGTGTAACATCAGGCACAGAAACTTTAGAATTCAGCTGTCAGAACTCCGCTAGGGAAAAATATCACTTCTAATTTTGATTTAAATTATATAAGCATCTGCCATAAGAGTCATATTTATTTGGCTGCCTAATGTTAAAACAACCAAATAACAGCCCTTGAACAAAAGAAAGCTTCCCTCTAAAGACAGCAATACAAGCCAGTTTGTTTTCAAGATTTTCAATCTATTTCCATGAAGAGATCGGCCTTATGCGCTATAAAATTTGATCAAGATGCAGAACTAGGCATCCGACAGTTACACAGGATGACGTCAGACTATTAAAACAAAAAGTAGGAATTTAGACGTCAGATGCTTGATGCTGGTGATCTGCTTGTTTTTTTCACTGTTTCCCAAGTGGCCTTTGTGACTCAATTTCCAGACTTGAGTGACAACATTCGACCAATGCTAACAGCTCCTATGTAGGCTGTTGTTTCCAGTCAAAATTCAGTTAAAGGAGATGCTGCAGTTCCAGGCTTTTAAATGTAAGCTTAGTAATTCCGCAGAGGCCGTCTCACTCCCCCAAGCAACATTCCCTTATATACTTCGTATTGTTCCTCCAAGACTATCTTGTCTGACAATCAGGATGCTGTGCTTTCTTGCCAGCAAACTTGCCTGTGTGTTATTTCTGAGTGGGCTGAAAGTCCATAAGTGAATGCTTTAGAATAAGCCAAGCAAATGAATACACAAGCAAAAAAGAAAAAAGGCACCATATTGATTTGTTGTCTAGACAGAAATGTATCTGCTAACACATCACCAGACATTAGTCAAAGCTGCCTGTTCTGGCTCAGATATGCAGAATCAGGTATTTCTGCAAGGGAAGAAAATCAGTAATAGGGTGGTGTGACATAATATCCTAAATTAGGCAATAATAATTATGGCTAATCTGTGGCTTCATGTACAGTTATTAGGAGAAAAGGAAAACCAAATTTGGCTTTATGCTGATCATTACTCATTATTATTTATTATTATTATAGGCCTTGGGATACAGCTAACCACTGTAAACCGTAAGCTCTATATTTGAAATAAAATGTGCCATTTTTTTTAAAACTACTTTTAAATTTGGAATGTTATTTCAAACTGTGATTATTTACTCTGAGAAAAAAATGACAACATTCATTTGAAACTATTGAATACTGTTTAGTTTTATACAAAGATAAGTGGGAAAGATAACTACTCTCAGAAATAACAAACCATAATAAACTATACTTCTAGCATCTTGAGTTCAAGTACTGGTCAACTTGATCTAAAGTGTTAGAAGGCTGTATTTTTGAAGAAATATCAACTTGGTTGATCTGAAACATCTGTCCCCCTCACCCCCCTAGCTCTCTCTACTACCCCAAATCATGATTTAAAATTATCTGGTCTTCCTATTTTGTTAACTGCATGAACCCCAGAGTTAGAGCACATGAGGTGGAATTATCAGCCCACAGAACTTAGAAGGTTATGTAGTTCACCCTTGAGATGATTTATATCCATAAACTTGACAGTTGCAAACTTAACACAAACACTGTTTTTAAACCCTGGCCAATCACTCTTAGAGCAAGTTAACTTTCCCACAATCTAGAGTAAATATGACATTTGCCTGCAGTCAGTCAGCACATCAGAGCACAATGTCATGTGGTCATAACGTTTCCCCTTGTTATTTTTACATTCAGTTAATATTTCTAAAGAAATTGAAAAAAAAAAGAGGTTTCCTTACATTGAGGAACCCCACCTGTCCAGCCTGCTGACCAGCATCAGGGCAGACAAGTTGGACAAACTCTTTCAGCGTCTCCTGAGGGTGGTAGCGGATGGCTGGGTGTGAGAAGTAAGGCCCAGGCTGCTGGATAATGGGGGACGTTGGAAAGTGAAGAGTCGATGGCGTCGCATGCGGACTTGCTGTAGGAAAAGGAAACATCAGGGTCAGGAAGAGAGAGACTTACTTTGCCATAGCTGAACCCGATTCAACTTCCTTTTTGATTTCTTCTCCTGGCTCAAAGTATTACTCATGGGACTGAATTTAACATTGGATAGGTCTGATAGATTTTCTTCCTTAAGTCTCTAAGACAAACATGGAGGTCAGATTAGGGTAGGGTTTCAAGCTGTCTTTCTATTTTCAGTGGACATGAGTTATAAAGGCATTAATAATCCTTGGTGAAGCTGAAGATTATTCATTACCTTAAGAGCCTTTTTAATGAAGCAAGCAATAAAAAATGTATTTGGTAGATTAGACCTGATTTAACTGACATTACATATGACAAATTCTGGTTTGCACATATGGATCCCCTTTCACGCTGAGCTATCCATAGACAATAATTCATTGTTAAAGCTCTTATACCCTTTCAAGGAAATTTCTAGGGACTAATTCAGGATGAAATTTTTTTGAAGTATGTAGTAAATGATCACTTAATGAACCCATGCAATTTGGGTGCCTCACTTTACACGGAAGGTTTATGTCACTTTTTTTTTTGTCATTTCAAAACCAAACTCGGAAATGCATAAACGTTAGAGCAGGGAAACCCAAAGGCTGAGTAGGCAGTGACCTTCACTAAAACATTGGCCCTCTGCCCGTAAAAACTGATAAAAGACTCAGACAACTACTACTCCCTTACATTTGAACCCTGATAAATTTCATTTGTACAAGAAGAAAATCACATTAGATTAAAAAACTTATATGAAGTGCTTAATAATTTTTCTAAGAGAACTTTTGCCCTTGAATTGGAAGGATGATTAATAAAATCTGCTGGAGGATAAGAGCAGTGCATAGTAAGGGTCTGAAGATACTCAAAACCAAGTCCAGCCCAGAGAGCCAGGCCTCACTTCTCAATGAGGCCAGAGTAACCGCTCCTAAACCAGAGGAATGAGAGTATTTATCTTTCCTCTATGGCTGTTTTGTTTGTTTGCATTTGTTTGTTTGTTTGTTTTTGAGATTTAAATCTTTAAAATCTAAACTACAAAGAGAAAACATGGGAATGCTCAAATTTTTGGAGACTAAGACTTTCTTTTTTTCTTTTTTTTTTTTTTTTTGAGACAGAAAGCGAGAAATCTCCCCCCTCCCAGGGGGGATGGCCACACCGCAATCCCTTCTCCGCCATACTCCTCTCGGGATCTTGGGCACACATGCACACGTGCCCGGCATGAGTTTTAAGCCATTGGGTCTAGGATGCGAACCGCAGTCGACTATGTGGGAGTCCAGCGACATAGCCATTACGCTAACTGCTGGTCCCAAGACTTTCTTAATTCCAAGACAGATTCAGAATATTGAAGAGAAACCCGAGTAGGATAGGCCACCCTTTCTGGCACCCACTATACTTCTGGCGTAACTAAGGGATGTGGGGAAAAAAAGCATACCTACTGATTGCTGGACATGGACTCTCTACTTCTTACTGGGTTTTCCTTGTAACTGGAGTGTTTTCTAACTAATAACTGAAATAACTAGGTGTGTGTGGTTCGGGATGGCAGCTGTTGCTTCTACTGGGTGGAAATGGGGGTTTGGTGCAGAAGCAACAGTCTGGTCCATGTCTTGCAGATGATCCCATGGAACCTTTCCCTTTATGCAACCTTTAATCTATCCAATAAATATTCATAGGCTCTCACTATGGGCTTGAGAGACGAAGTTGAGCTAAGACAGCTGAAGTTTCACCCTTAATCATACAACTGACAACATCTTGAACATAAACTATTTCAACTGGAATTTTCATCAGCCTTACTTATCAAACTGACTCTTCTGCCAATCTTCCCCAACTTAGTTATTAGCTATTCTCTCCACTTAATTGTTCACTATCACACCTCCAGAACTGACTCTGGCAATAAATATTTGTTAAATGTGACTGAATACATGAGTGGAACGAAAGTTAATAAAAAAAAAAACAAACATACAAATAAGTATGGAATACAACTTGACAAAAATAAAACTTGGCTTCTTCACTTGCCAAACAGCTAGGGAGCTTATAGACCATTTGGTAAAACTTAGGACTTCATGGGGTCAGCAGATGGTGTAGTGGTTATGTTGCTGGACTCCCACATAATCAACTGTGGTTGGAGTCCCAGACCTGGTCACTTGAAACTCATGGCAGGCATGTGGGCATAGGCGCCCAAGATCCCAGGAGGAGAATGGAGAAGGGATTGTGGTATGGCCATCACTCCCTGTGGGGTGATTTCTCACTTTTCCTCTCACTGTCTCTGTCTCTTTCTGCACCACCCCCCCCCCAAGAGCATGTACCCTAAGGCAGAAGAAAACTTAGGACTTCATACAATGAATGCTAAATCTTGGAATCCATTACTATCTCTGAATTAAAACTCATAAGCTAAAAAGTTAAACGACTCTGCTTAGCTGTTCCTTCACAGATCATGATGTTGGCTTTCAAGAACCAAAGGAATGTTTTTGTCTAATATGGTACAGTTATCTTTGCTGGTAGTAAGGCACTTTGACCCAGTACCCTGTTTCTGACCAAATAGTTTTTAGTTAAAGATGGAATGTGGTACTTCCCAAACTAGCTGAGAACGTATCGAGCCTAACAAAATAAAAAAATAATGCCTCTTTTGTGGCATAGCAAATACTACAGGGGGCAACTCCACAGTTAAGAGCCCTGGCTCACTTGACATTGCCTCAGGTGCTCAATAGAAAGCGAGTGATTTTCAGATTATGAAATTGTTGTGGCCAACAGAGAATGCTGCCTAAGGAAAAAAAAAACACAAGTGCAAAGATTAGGCAGATAAAGTTTAAAAAATGCGATAGAAAAAGTATTAATAATTCAATGGGACCATGGAACAAGCTCTTTAACTGTTAATAAATATTCTTTGCCTTATTTTGTTGTTGCTATTAAGTAAGTAAAATAAAATCATTGGCCACTTCAATTTAGACCTTAGCTTTTAAAAAATTTCATTAAAAACAATTTTTTCACTTTTTCTGGAGTTTCTTTTAACACAAACCTAAGAACATATGGTACTATATGAAATTAATTCTACAATGACTGATTTACAAGGATCAATTAATTCTTAATTAATACCAGGAAATCATTTAGCCTGTAGTCTCAAATTAGACAATTGCAGAGTCTGCATTTTAAAGGGTCATCCTTTATAACCCCTACTCTCTCATGCTTAGGACTTTTCTGGTTCAGTCATCAATTCACTGTGGAACTGGATACAAATCATTCAAATCCTGGGCTTTAATTCCTTCAAACAGAAAATAGTTGTGTTACAGAACTATTAATTATTATCAAATATATGCCATTTCTTTGGATAACCTGTTATTCCTCTACCAGACAGTGAGACCCAATGAAGCTCAGAGTTTTCATCAACGTCTAACTGCTTTTCTTCTTTCGTATTTTCTTTTTGTTGATTATTTCCTCCATGAGCAAGAACCAGAGAAAGGGACAGAGTTAGAGATAATACCCCCAACTGAGTTGTGATGCCACAATCCACCCCCAGCCTTCACACAGCTCAGGTCACAGGCAAGCGTGCATCCAGCATACCAAGGGAGGTCTCTGGACTTGAACTGGGAACTTTCCCATTTGGGATTGCCTTATATAGAACACTGTATTTTACCATTGCACCACTATCTGGCCCCCTTTTTAAAATATTTATTTTATTCATGATAGAGAATATATGCACACTTAAGAGAGAGAGCAAGAGATAGAATCTTATGCCATGATCCTCTTTTTCTCAGACCTGTAGCTTGTCGGGACTTTGAGCATGCATACGCTCACTTGGCGTGTTTCAAGTCAACCAAACTAGGCATGCGAATCTTCTATTGGCCATGTGGTTTCCAGTACTGCAGTTCAGTATGCTACTAACTGTGCCACAAAGACTGAGCCTCTGTTTCTACTTTTTTCTCTTTATTTTAGATTCAATATTTTTAGTGTACCTTAGTTTTTTTCATCTACATTGTCTCAACTCATTTTATAGAGTCATTAGGGTTAAATCAACCAAACAGTTAAATTCATTAAATATACTTGGAGATGGCCTGATGGAGCCCTGTAGAAGAAAAACTACCATGATGAATCTGGCATGGTGCTAATGGATTGCACAAAGAACAGCATGAGTACAAATTTTTGAGGAAGAAAAACATCTCTTATGGATGTGTGTGTGAGTAGTTGACACAATAAAAAATTATAGCACATTATGTAAATGCATATTTAGATCCTTTAAAATGTGCATTATTTACTTGAGAGTCAATAAAGGCTTTTCTCAAGTGGTTACAGTTTATTGCAGTGCATCCATCTGTATCCATGTTGATGTTAATACAATTTTGTGTATTAAAAGACACTACAAAATTGGCTGCTTCTGGGTCTAATACTCTTAGTACCCCAGGCCAGGAGCAATAGAGAGTGTCAGAAACACTTCACTCCGGATGCATCTCACTACTAGTTTAAACTTTAACAAGTGGCCAGACTTGTTTCTTGGGCTCTTCACAAAGAATACAATAAGATGGGAAGGGAAGAAATTTGATCTGGTTTCTTTGGCTGCAATGGCACTGCCTACACGTTCTGAACAAAGTGGCCACAATAAAGGAAACACAGAACCAGAATTTCCCAAAGAATGCAGTGCTCAGTTATTTATTACAAAATGATCATATTACTGAGTACTAAAAAAAGAGAGCTGGTCAGGAAGGTTGGTTTACTAGTTCGCTCTCCTCCCAGCACCCCAGTACTCCACAGTTCCTTAAAATACTCTCATGGTTTTAGTTCAGAGGAGTTCCTTAAAATACTCTCATGGTTTTAGTTCAGAGGAGACAGTTAAAAAGTCAACACAATTGAGTATTCATGTTTTTAAGTTAAAAATCCTTTCTCCTTTTAAAGAAGAACTGATTAAGACTGAGGAATGAGAAAATTAAGGTCAAGACTGTATTGTATATGTCAAAAGACTTATTCAAGAAGACTTCAAAAAGTTCATAAAAA